CCCCCAAGCCAGAGGCGAGGATCACAGGACTCAGGATCTTCATCGGGTGGACTAGCTGGGATCTCCGCATTGGATTTGGGGCTGATTATCACTGCTTGGCTATTATTATTGTTGTTGTTATTTTTTTTTTTACCCAAGGGAGAAAGACACAAAAAACTGTGGGATTTATTTAACATGATCTTGGCAAACGTCTTCTGCCTCCTCTTCTTTTTAGGTGAGTACCTGCGGGCGGGGAGGGCAGCTTGTCCGCCGGAGCCTGGGGGGCCGCGCGAGGCCGCGCGTTCGGTCGCCGGCGAGAAGCCGGGAACGCGGGGGGCGAGCGGGGCGCGGGCTGGAGACCCGCGGGGAGAGCGCGCCGCGGAGCGAGCCGGGCCCCCGCGCTGCCGAATCGAGCCGGGCCGGGCGGCGAGGCTGCGGGCGGAGGGACGCGAACCGCCGCTGGCTGGTTACGCAGGGGGCTTGGGAAGGAGACTTGGAACACCATCGCCGCACACACGCACACTCGCTTACTCACACACAATGCTAGCACTCATTTCTCTCAAAATAATGGGTTCAAATTGCGGCAACTTAAGAAAAAAGAATACCAACTCTAGATCTGGAAGAGAGGAGGGTGGGGAGCGGCTCTGTGTCGCGGAGAGAAAAATCATGCCAGTTCCATCTTTCTGGTCGGCTCCTGGATCGGCCCGGGCGGACGGCATGGGTTTCTGGATCTCCTGCTTGGACATCGGTGCGGGCAGCGCTGGCCGCCATCCCCTCACCTGCCAATCACCCTTCGGGAAATGCATCCCACTTCCCGCTCCCCGAACCCCTTTTCCAGTGGCCCCAGTCCCTGGAGCACTTTTCAAGTTTCTCCCCACCCTTTGTCCGCCCTCCCGCCCAGACCCGAGCCAGATGCGTGGGCAAGAGTGAAACGTTGCGAGCAACCGTTCACTACCTATCCCTCACCACTTCTGGCCGCCTGGGGACCCTGTAGCTTGTGGGAAGAGGAGGGAGGGAGGTCAAAGTTTGCTTCCTTGGGTGAAGAGGGAGAGGAGTGATGGAAAAAAAGGGATCTGAACAAAGACCATTGCTCATTCCATAAGCCCCCTCCTCCAAGTGCAGGGAGGAGGGGCTGCCTGGTGCCCCTGAACCCTGGGCAGTCTCCCACCCAGAATTCCCAACCCCTCGCGCCCTTTTGTGCTATGTGAAATCTCAGCTGCTTGGGAAATGGGTATAGAGAGAGCATTCTGGGAGTGGAGGTAAGGAAGAAGGTGTTTGCCAGCCGGGTGCTGACCTGGAGTCCCTGGCGAGGCTGCTGCCCCTGGGTAGGTGCTCTGGAGAGGGAGCTGGGTAATGAGTGTGTTGAGGGCGCACACATCTGCCTCCGTGTGGATGCTGTTCCTGCCACCCTGGCCTGCTGTTAGCCTCTGGTGAGCCAGGGTGCCTAGCTGGGTCAGGACTGTACCCTTTCTCTCCTGGAGGAGGCGAGAGGGGAAGGCCTGAGGGGGTAGGTGCCCATCACAGAAAGATGTTTGTGGTCTAGTAAGTGCCCTCCTGGCTTGAATAGGGGATTTGAGTCAATACTGATTAGACCCTTTGTCCACCCCCTGCCTCTACCCTGTCCCAGAAGCTGCGGTCCCCCAGGGTGCCTGGCCCTGCTCTAGGGTGTGGCCTTCACAGGTCCTGCCCCCCTAAACCAGAGGCAGCTGTCTCCAGGGTGGGAGGGGCTGCAGGAGGAAGCTGCAAAGGTGCTCCGGGCCCACTGTGAGCTTGCAGCCTTTCCTGGCAACCCACTGCAAGTGGGCTCTCATTCTGGAGGGGCTGTTATAAAACCTGACCTTTTCTCCCACTGCTGGTTTGAAAACCCACCTTTCTGGGGCTAAGAAGAAAAGAAAATTGTATTTCCGGAAAAGCAGCCAGATTGCCCACTGCTGAGCTATGTATGTCTATACCCCACAGGGGCCTTCTGATGTCCCGGGGTGGAGAAGAGCGTTATGGGCCCCTTAGTCCTGTCTAGGGGCCCATGTTGCAGGCAGGCTTTTTTCAGCCGGGAGGGCTGTGGAGTTGACTTTGTTCTCATGATATAGGGGTATGTGTGTGTATGTGTGTGTCAGAGATGCACCCGGAGTCTGAGACCCTGGGGGCAGTGGTGAGAGGAGGAGTAAGAGCAGGACATCAGCAGTCCTTTTGGTCAGAGCCTTTCAGTTCCCCTCCCTTGAGATGCCCCTTTCCAGAGCTGGGGGGAGGGGTTAACTGAGTGACCACCAGATATTAGAAGACTCTGGGTTAGGCCAGCCAAGGAGGAAGGGATAGGTTGGTATTAAGGAAACTTCAGCCTCAGGGCCACTTTCCTTGGCAAGGAGCTCACAGTTGGGAGCTGGTTGGAAATTCCGCTTGTGGGGAGAGGCTTTTGTGGAGCTTGAGACTGGGTAGGCAGCTTCAGTGTGTGTGTGTGTGGGGCACGGTGAAGTGTGGTGCCAGGAGCATGGGTCTTCAGTGTGCCCCCCAAGGTTCTGAGTGAGGCCTGGAAGTAGAGAGGCCTTTCTGGCCCAGTCATCCTGACCTCCAGGGTTGACATTCCCAGGGAGAGAATGAGATGGGGAAAGTCACTTGGGGGCAGGGCTGGTCAGAGGGCCCACTTCCCACTGGTATCCTAGTGTGCATTCTAGCTCTTGTGGGGCTGTTCAGTGCGGGGGGTTGTTTGCAGCTCCGTGTAGTCTCTCAGTCCCCCTTGTCTCTAGAAGCTGTTCCACATGTCTTTTCTTAATGGATCTGAGTTTTCTCCTGATTTAGAATATGGAAGCAGCAGGATACCTTCTGACCTTTACTCTTTTAGAATTCTTGGCCCAAGGCTCCCAGTTGCTATTTCTTTCTCTGTCTGGGCTTGATTGGTTCTTGGGGTCATGACGCCAACTAGAAGAGCCAAGGATGGGTGCAGCCAGGGAGTTTGGGGAGAGGATGCACTGGCTCTTTGCGGAGCATCTTCCTGCCCTGGTCACGCGTACCAGCTGGCAGCATGGGGGACGCCCTTGCTCTTGGCATAGGAGCCCAGCATTTGTGAGGATTGTCCTGTGGGGCTCTAGGACCCACCTGTAGGGCAGGCAGGGTACGTGTCCTTCTTGCCTTGATCCCCTAGGCCAGTGTCTTGACCTTTAAGCCTGCCCAGGATGCTCCCTTCTCAGGCTGTCTCAGACAGTGCGGCCTTAGGCACAGTCAAGGTGGGAAGGGAGAAGGCTGCTGGGACGCTGTGGGGAAGTCCGTGGAAGTCCCAGGGCTGGGTCATTTTTGAGGCTCTAGCACGCAGGCTGGCCGGCTGGCTAGGTGGGGGTAGCAGGTGCAAGTGAGGCTGGGTCAGCTCAGCTGCTCCTGGGTGGCCCAGATGCACTGAGTCCTGCTCGGGGACCTAGGAATTTGCTGAAGCCAGGAAATAAAGCTGCTGCCTCGGCTTGGGCGGAGGACACCTCTCCAGCCAGTGCCTCGGCAGATGCCCCGCTGTTCGTGCCCACACCCCATGCTGGCTTCTTCTCTGGTCTTGTCTCAGCCTGGCCACAGCCTTCAGCTCTTCCTGTCCTGAGGCAGAGGTATGGTCAACGGGAGAAGGAATATCTTTTTCTCTGGCCCTTATGGCCTTCTCCACTGCAGGCCTACCCCTTGCTCTTCTACTTCCTCTCGTTGTGGCTAGGTCTCCTCCCGCCAGTGGTGGAGTCCTTTCCATCCGCAGCTGTCTGGAGTGACAGGCTCGTGATACAGTGCTCTGCCTCCAGGTGTCGCTGTCTCCCCACGGTAGCTCCCCCCCCTGAGCAGGGCCTACTGGGGAAAGGAGTGAGAAGTGGCCATTCTGGATAGGGATTTGGAGGGGGGGGGGGCGGGAAGGGCAGATTCTACGGGATTCTGAGGAGGGGACTTCTGGCCTAGGATCTTAGTATGCTTTGGGCTGGATGGAATGGAGGAAGCCTCCCAGGTCACTCCTGGGTCTTGGAAAAGGCAGTCTTGGCTCTGGCATATGGAGGGGCTTTTTCTGGGGCAGGATCTGGAGTGGACAGGAAGACTGGGGTGATGTCTGTGTCTAGAGGAAACCATTTTGGGAGCTTGATTTTGACAGGACCAAGTGGGCTTCTCCCTGCCCTTCACTTATGAATCTTTTTCCCGGAGCCCCTTCCTTTAGAGGACTGTGGGTTTAGATGCTCTGAGGGTGATGAATAGGAAGGGTGGTTGAATCCTGCTTGTTCACCTTTGGAAAGGCAAGGCTCTACGTGCACGGCCAGAGTCCAAGGACGGAAGCTCTCTCCCTTTTGCAATTGGCTTATTATTTGGCTTTTGGAAAGAAGGAAAAAAAAAAGAAGAGACCGAGGGGGAGAGGGTTTCAGAGAAGGGTGGAGAGGAGAGGGAAGAGAGGAGAAGTAGAAGGTGCTAGAGAGAGAGAGAGAGAGAGAGAGATGGGGCACAAGGCTATTCAAAGAGCAAAGGTGATGGAGAAATAGACCTTAGAAGGAAGTCAGAGAGAGAAGTGTGTGTGAGAGAGAGATGAGAAAGCCACACACACACACACACACAAGGAAGAAAGCTAGGGGCTTGTCAGGCTTGCCTGCACCACTTTCTTTCCACAGGGCTGGGGTACAACTTGGCCACAGAAGGCATGTTTTCAGGTGTCCAGCCAGGGTGCACTTGGACTGGAAGGTGTGGAGGGCTGGGCTGGAAAGGGGTGGCCGCCCCCTTCTGGACATGCCTCAGGCCACAGGTCAGGCTTGTCTCTTGGGGTCTTCTCTTAGAGTCTGGGAACTCAGAATGGACAGGCCAGGAGTCTGAGGGGCCCTTTCAGCCCATGTGTGACCTTGAGTTGTCATCTCCCTTCTTTAGGTCTCAGTTTCCCCAGGGTAAAGTGGTGGGGTAGGGGGAGCTGGATGCTGTGGTCTCTGAGGTCCTAACAGACCAGGAGAGTAAAATTATTTCCTGCTGCTTTCCGAGTTTAATCCAGCCTGTTGGTTGGACATCTGGTGGAACTGAGGTGGATGGAGGTTTGGGCAGCAGGAAAGCGAGAGTCCTCCTCTGCACACTTGGGCAGGCCCTGCAGCCCCCAGCTCTCCGCTGAGGCTGTAGCATCCTTCTCTGGCCTCCTGGGGTTTTCAACTGTTTGTGATCTTGCTGGAGGGTCTTCGGGCTTTCCTCTGCTCCGCTCCTGGGCCCAGGGCTGAGGGGTGACCAAGTGGAATTGGAAGAGAATCTGGTAGAGCCAGGGCACAATGACAGCTCGAGGTCTCCTTTGGGCTTGAGGAGGGATGTTGGTGTCTTGGGAACCTTTCAGGGCTCTTCCTCAGACCCGTTGTGTGGTGGGGAAGGCAGCATGGAGTCGGCCTTGGTGTGCTTTGGAGTAAGATGGGTGTGAAGTTCCCCGAAGGGCCCAAGCCCCCAGGCCTGCATCTTGGGTCGGAGGTCATGGCGGCCCTCATTCATGCTTGTCTTCCCTCCCCACCACCCAGACGAGACCCTCCGCTCTTTGGCCAGCCCTTCCTCCCTGCAGGGCCCCGAGCTCCACGGCTGGCGCCCCCCAGTGGACTGTGTCCGGGCCAATGAGCTGTGCGCCGCGGAATCCAACTGCAGCTCCCGCTACCGCACGCTGAGGCAGTGCCTGGCGGGCCGGGACCGCAACACCATGCTGGCCAACAAGGAGTGCCAGGCGGCCCTGGAGGTCCTGCAGGAGAGCCCGCTGTACGACTGTCGCTGCAAGCGGGGCATGAAGAAGGAGCTGCAGTGCTTGCAGATCTACTGGAGCATCCACCTGGGGCTGACTGAGGGTAAGCCCGGCGGGGGCGGGGGTTGGGGGGAGCCGTGGGTGGGGGCCTAGGTTCAGGGGAAGACTTGGTAGTGGAGGGAACCGGCCAGGTCTCTATCGCTCCCTGCCAGGGGAGCCTGGAACATAGAGGAAGTAGCTGGCTGATCTAGGAGGGTGGCTGTTGGAGGCGGCCAGGAGAGGTGAAGGAGGGGGCAGAGTGTCAGCTGGGGAGGAGAGGGGGCTGAGTGGTGGGAGAAGGAGAACAAGGCTGGAGAAAGGAGGGCAGTAGGGGTCAGGAAGAGGATGGATGGACGGACGGACAGACGGAGGGACGGACTTGTGCAGTGGTAACAGAGAAGGGGAGGCAGGAGTACCCAGGCAGATGCGGGAGGGGGGTCGCTGCAGGCAGAGCTGTGCCTCCAAGCAAACCAGCCGCTGCCACTCCCCGAAGGCCTGGGCTCTGAGCTGAGGGCAGTCCCATTTTTGCTCTTCCTGCTGCCAGGAGGCTTGCTCTTCAGGGGGCTTCCTGACCCCAGGGCTGGCCTAGGCCCCTTCCACAGGGCTTGGAGCAGTGTGTGGGCAGCAGGCCCCTCCAGCTCCCAAGGTGGAACCTGCCACCACCCCCTCCCCTAACAGCCCGCTCCCCGATGCCATCCCCTTCCAGACCACAGTGTGGAGGATTTGCGTATAGTGCAGGAGGATTGGCCACCTTGGTCAGATGGTCATTTATTGATTCAACAACTGTTTATTGAGAGATTATCATCTGCTGGGCATTGTGGGAACACTTGAGAACAAGCGGGGGGAGCCTCTGCCTTCATGGAGCTCATAGTTGGGGGGGTGCAGAGAAGTGAGGGGCTTTCTGTCACTTGGTGGCCTCAGTGCTGTCGGAAAGCACTGGTGCTGTGGGAGCCCCATGGCAGCTTCTTATAGTCTTAAGAGCCTTCCTAGAAGAGGCAGCCTCTGAGCCGAGGCTAAGAGTGAGCTGTAGTTACGCCCGGAGGGATATGGGCAGAGTGTGGGAGGTGGAGGGGGAGCTTGGGCAAAGGCCCTCAGGAGGGAGTTGAACTCACTTGCAGACCAACAGGTAACTCAGTGTAGTCAGGTGGGGAGCTGGAATTGGGGATGGGGGGAGGAGAGGGGAGGGGGGCGGGACCTGCTGGGCCTCAGGGAGCCCCGCAAGGGGAGGCCATGCGATCTCGGCTTCAGGACAGTGAAGATTGGAGGCTGTTCCTGTGATCCAGGCCAGGGGTTGTGGTGACTGGCTGAGGACAGCGGCAGGAACGAGGGAGGGTCCAGGGAAGCAGAACCAACAGGTCTTGGTGAAGGGAGAGGAGTCAAGGAGGGCAGTTTTCTGTTTTGGGCAATTGGGTGGGTGATGGGGCTGTTCGCAAGAGGCGGAGAAGGTTTCGTGTGGGGGGAGGGCAGGGAGATGACGCCTTAATTTTGGGGTGTGTGGCTCTGGTTGGAGCCCAGGTGGGGAAGCGGCTTTGTACATGGAGATTTAGGAGCTATAGTCAGCCAAGGCCAAGGGTGTGTGCACACTGAGGGGAGGGAGGGGACAGAGCCCCCGGGACCACCACCGACGTTTACAGATGGGCGGGGGAGGCAGGGGCACCTGCAAGGGTGCGGGAGAGAGGCGGGAGGGACAGCAGGGGACCGGGGAAGGAAGGAGGGCCAGCAGTCTCCAGTACTTGGGGTCCAGCAGGAGAGGGCTGGTGGCGTGGCCCTGTGCCCTTGGGGTGAGCGCCGCAGGTGGCCACTGGGAGCAGAAGCCTGGTTAGGGAGTGAGTGGGAGCTGGGAAAGGTGACTGTGGACAACTTCTAGAAGTTTGGTGTGAGGAGGAGAGGACAAAGGATGATTTTTTTTAAGATGTGAGAGGGTGGAGCAGCTTGAAATGGAAAGTAGGCCAGTAGTGGTGGAGTGTTGAGGTGAAGAGAGGGGTACGCTGTGGAACGGCGTCGGTGGTTAGCCTGAGATGGAGAAGCAGCATGGTCTCAGGGTGCTGGAGGGGAGGGGAAACGGGGACCGGGTGTGGGGGCCGGAGAGTGAGGGATTTCCGAGCAGGTGCCGAGATGGTTCCAATACACCCTGAATGTGGGAGTAGAGCGGGCAGGTCATTATGAACAGTATCACCACCGTGAATAGCAAAGTAATTCCTCTGACTCAGTCTCCCATTCCCAGCAACCTCGAGTCCTGGAGCTAGAGGTGAGCAGAGAGAGGGAAACAGTGCCACAAAGTGCATGTCCCTTATTCCCTGCGAGGTGAGGGAGGATGCCTCTCTAGTGCCTGAAAACTGAGGCCCCTGAGCCCATGGCTGCATTCTTTAGTTTCTAGTTTTCTTTCCTGAGGCCTTCAGTTTCAACCCAGGGGAAGTGGGGCGGTACCTTGGGGTGGGCTTGCTGAGGGCTGCAGGATTCCCAGGGGAGGGGACAGAAGGACTGCCAGCTGGAAGAGCCGGGTGGGCCCCCTGAGAGCCTGGCCACCCGAGTGGCTCCCTCTGGCATTACTGCGCCAGAGGGCCGAGGCCCTTGCTGGTGGGAGCCAGGCAGTGGGGCGTTTGGATGAAGATGGCGTGCTTCACGGGCTTTACACTGCGTCCTGCGCTTTGCTCTTCAAGGCCCTCTCAACCCAGTAGTACGGGACGGGAGAGGCGTGAGCTGGCTTGCTGGTTCTCTTACTCAGCAACCATCTAAGAAGCCCCGACTGTGTGCTTCGGGGTGGGCGAGGGGAAGCACTGATTCAGCCGTGGTCCCCTGTGCTGGGCTGCGTGTGGCTAGGAGAACCCTCCCCTGGGCCAATCCTACAAAAGTAGACCTCCTACTTTCTCCTTCCTCAGAATGCACCCCTCCCCCATTCCTGGTTCTTGGGAGCCAGAGGTGGTTTCTGCCTAGAGCTGGCCAGGGGAAGCTGAGAGGCCTTTTAACAGTAGGTAATGTTCCTGTGAGTGACAGGATCCACCTGAGAGTTAATTATTCATGGTGTGGGATGAGTGGTCTCCCTGGGGGAGGCTGCAAGGACTTCCTCCCTATTCCTTAATAACACTTAATAACCTGGCTTGGGCCTGGGGCGGGGTGGGGGATTGTGGGGAGGAGAGATCTGTGCTGGTTTGGACTTTGATTGTGGCTTCCCCTTGGCCACTGCTGGCAGGTGTGATTGCTCTGGAGGCTGGGCCCCACCTTCTCCCTCCACCTGAGGCTGAGCTGTGCATAGTCTGAGGACCTCAGCTGCGGACAGAGCTGGTGGTGGCAGGAATGTGGCCTCTGCTGAGCTCCTAGATGTTCCCAATTGCAAAGGACCTAGAGATTATTCTGTCCCACTCCCACTTTGGTGGGGAAGCTGAGGGTGCAGGGAGGAGGGTTGGTGGGACCAGGGCCCCCGACTCCTTATCCAGACCCCTTTCCAACTGCCCTGGGGAGAACCTGTGGCCTGGGGCTCAACTGTCCCTTCTGTCACCACCGCCAGTATTTACATGGTGGTGCTGTCCCTGATGGCTCCACGGGGCACTTGAGACCAGACTTCTTGCCTTCTCCAGAGGTGGCCCTGAAGTTCAGGGTCATTCTGGTCCTTCAGATGTGAGGAGCAAAGGCCTCTCGCACAGGTCATGGCCTGGGAATCTGACACCTTAGGTTTGGGTCAGTCTGGTGGCCGGGATGCCCAAGGGGCCAGGTCTCCGATTTCCTGCTGGTGAATTCTGCTGCAGGAGTATGCAGCATGAGTTGACTTAAATAGGATGGGCCTTTCCCAGCCAGTCCTGCAAGAGGCTGTTTTCCCCCCGGACACTACCCCCCAACCCTGCAGTCGATCATACTAGCTGATCTGCACCCAGGTGCCTAGCTTTGCCAGGTGCAGGAGGGAAGGACAGGCCCGGGGCTGGGGGAGCAGTCCTGCTGGCCTAAGACTGACCCTGTGAAAAGTCCAACAGCAGCAGTACTTGCTTAAGAACAGTTTGGTTCAGCAACACTTTTAATTTTGGAGACTGTATTCATCATGGCTAAGTACTTGGATTCTGGAGCCAGCTGCCTGGGTTTGAAACCTGGCTCTGCCACGTACCAGCTGTGTGACCTTGGGCCAGTTACTTAACATCGCAGACCAGTTCTTTAGCAATGAAACAGGGAGAGGAATAGTGCCTATCTCGTAGAGAAATTAAGAGGATGAAGTGAGTTCGTACACCTAAAGCGCTTTCAGTGGTGCCCGCGCATAGAGGGCTCAGCATAACATCATTTTTCCTACAAAAACGCTTCCTAAGCTCTTATATTATTTGGCCCCAACAAATGGCAGTGGCTGGTAACCCCACCGCTGGGATTTTCTCTGGTGCCTGTGGGTAGAGAGGAGGACACTGAGATCGTACAGGCCTGGTCAGCCCCGGGGGCAGGTGGGATTGGAGACTGGCCTGAAAGGATCAGTGCCGTTTGGATGTCGGTCAGCAGTTAGCGCTTAGGGCCCGTTGTGTGCAGTGCATTCTGTGTGCTGTGTGTTGCAGGGCGTGAAGGGTGCTTGCTCCTGTGAGGTGAAGTAAAGGGTGGGGGCCGGTTCTCCAGGGGGAGAATGAACATCTGGGGGTCTGTACCATTTTTGGGGGGTCTGCTAGCTATAGCAGACAGATGCCTTGCTCTGTGAACCAGCAGAGGGCCGGATGAGCCTTGAGTGCTGGCCTCTGGGGGACCTCACCCCTTACGGGCAGATTGCAGGACCCCTCTTCTGGATGGCTGGCCCCGTCCTGCAGGAGGCCCAGTGGATGCCACCGCACATGTGCTCTTCTTCAGGTGCTGGACCCCGGGGGAATGGGAAATCAATGTGTGAGACTGTGGGTCATCACCTATCTCCCCCGCCCCTTCAGCACACACACACAGTCTGAGTGATTATCCATTGATTTCTCCTCACAATAACGTCTCAAGAGGATATTTCCTCTCCTGCTGAGGTGTTGGTGGAAGGGGCGGGAGTCCCGATGAGGAGGTGGTGGGTCTCCAGGGCATCCCTGTGCCATTTATCTCCTGTCACTCGCTTGCTTTTCTATTCACCAGCCCTCTGATGCACCCCAGATCCCTGAGGAGAGGTCTGAGAAGCCAGCAGGTGTGAGCTGGGTGGAGGGCCCTGGCCAGGCCAGCAGGGAGTGCAGAGGTGGGGAGTTGGTCAGACAAGATGGGGGTCATGCCTCCACTCAGCAGACCTTCAGCCCCTCCAGGCAGACTTCTGGTGACATGATGGGAAACAAAGAGGAAGTTCTGTGCCTTAGGTGGCCTGGGCAGAGCGAACCTGTAGTGATGGGGGAGGATGTCAGCGTGAGGGCCAAGGGACCAGAGTCTAGTCTAGCTCTGCCACAAGGAGCTGTGTGATCTCAGTCAGGTGTCTTTACCTCTCTGGGCCACCTCAGAGTCCTCTCTTGTGAAAAGAGGAACTTGTACTGAACAACCTTGGAGGGCCTTTGGCTTCAAATCCTTTGATTTATGTCTGGCCTTCTGCAGGCTGTCCACCTCCCCAGTGCTTTCTTTCCAGAAGCATTTGGAAGTCCTTAAAAGAGGGCTGGACATGCAGAGAGGTCAGCAGAGGGAAGCGTGAGCAGTACTGACCTGCTGTGGGAGACTACTCTAGTTGGAGAGAAAGAACTCACCCGTATGAAATGTTCAGCATCTCATGCATCACTTGCTCTTGTCTAGCACTGTGGGAGGGGTGAACCTGTGCCTAATGCTGGTTTTCTCTTCCAGGTGAGGAGTCTTATGAAGCCTCACCCTATGAGCCGGTGACCTCCCGCCTCTCGGACATATTCAGGCTTGCTTCAATCTTCTCAGGTAAGTGGGCTCGTGCTAGGGCCTCCCCAGTCCTCCTAGGCGCCCTGGCCTTCAGTCGGTTCTGCCTTCCACCAGCAAGCCCCTTCGTGTTTCTGAGCTTCGGGTCCTCATCTGTGAAAGAAGAAACCATAACACCCACCCCTGACGTTGTGTGTGGAGTGGAGCATTTATGGTACTTGCCTAGAATGCGCCTTCCGTGCAGTAGGTCTTGAATTGGAAACCTGGTGTCACTCTCCTAGTTTGTCACATGTCTTGCCCTGCGGGGTCCTTCTTTCCAGTTCCCAGCTCTTGCACTTTGGAATTCTACTTTGGTCAAGCTGTTCAACTTTTCTGTGCCTCAGTTTCCTCAGTTGCACAGTGGGAGAGTACCTACCTTGGGTTGTCGTGATGTCTGAATGAGCCAGTGGTTGTGAAGGGCTCAGCGAGCTGCTGGGCAACGCAGCCCAGGGCCCGACCAGGAACCATTAGCTGTGGTTCTTGGCAGTAATATCACCCCTCTCGGCTCTGCTCTGGGACTCCCCTTCCCCCGGGGGCTCTTCTTCTTGAGCGCCACTGAGAGGCCTCTTAGTCCCGGCCACTCCTGCCCCGGCCTGCCCTGGCCTGCCCTGGGAAGTGAGAGGACTGTGTGGAGCTCTAGCTTTGCTTGTCATGGTCCCTGTGCGGAGTCCGAGGACTTTGTTGGTTCCTTCTTCTTGGCCTGTTCCCTCTGGCATCTGGGAGACCTGTGGGCCCAGGGCAGCCGCCCCTGCTCGGGCACTGGGGAGGGCCTGCCTGTCTTGGGAACCGCTCTGTAGGGGCTGGGGACGAGCTCCTCCTGAAGCCACCACTGGTGCTCAAAGGTGGCCGGGGGGGCCTGTTATGGCACAGGGCCCCAGACCTCAGGTTTCTAGGAAGTTTTGTGGCAGTATGTGAAGCCTTCTGAAGTTTCTTTTGCTTTAAACCATGGGTTCTCAACAGCAGCACTGTTGGGGTTTTGACTTGGATAATTCTCTCCCACGGGCAGAGCTGTCCCATGCATTGTTGGATGTTTAGCAATGTCCCTGGCCTCTACCCATTGGACGCCAGTAGCAACGCACTGAGTTGTGACAACCAAAAATGTCTCCAGACATTGCCAAATGTCTCTTGGGGGCACGACTGCTACCAGTTGAGAAGCAGCGCTCGAAAACTGTGAAATGAACGACTCTCCAGTGAGACCCTAAACCCCTTCAAATGAAGAATTCTCTAGGAGACTGTTTTTCAAACTTTCTTTTTCTGTTATTGCCCCCTGCTAAGGAGAAAAGTCAATTCTCTGTAGAGAAATACTGTCTTAGTCTCTTTGGGCTGCCGTCACAAAATACCACGTTGGGGAGCTTCAACAACAGAAATGTATTATCTCATAGAGGCTGGAAGTTGAAGATCAAAGTCTGGCTGGGCTTGGTGTCTGGTGAGCGCTCTTTTCCTCACTTGCAGATGGCCACCTTCTCACTGTGTGGGAAGGGAGGGGTGGTGAGGAGGGAGGGAGGGAGGGGGAGAGCGAGAGAGCTTTTTTTTTTTTTTTTTAATATAAGGATACCATTTCTATTGGTTTTGGCCCTACCTTCTCACCTTTATGACCTCACTTAACCTAATTACCTCCTAAAGCTCTGTCTGGAAATATAGTCAAATTGGAGATTAGGACTTCAGCATATGAATTTGGTGGGCACAATATAGTCCATAGCAAATACCAAGGAATACCTACTTTTCTTTTTTTGCCTACCCAAGAGCCAATTTTTGAGATTGTATTTAAGAGATTGATATGGGAGGATATATATGTTCCTGATGGGAGAAATCCTGGAACCCCATGAGAAAGGAGGCATTGGCCAAAGGGTGACCATCTAGATTTGCTCTTGGGCCCTGGTGGTGGTTGGGGATGATGGTGAATGAAATGGAGACTTCAGAGATGATCCTGATTGGTTTTGGATAGAACTTCACCTTGGGCCACTCCTTTGGGGACAGCCTTGGGGCTCAGATGCAGGTTGAGAATATTCTCAGCATGGGATGCTATAGTGCGGATGCCCTCAGCCCCGATGTACCCAGTTCTCACCCTGCCAGCTGAGTACTGCTGGAGGGGTGGAAGCCATTGGGTTTACCTCCAGCAAAGACATAGATTAGCCTTGCTCCTTGAAGGGTGAAGGTCAGAGGTTTGCTTCCCGGACTCCCACTAAACATCTTTCTAGCAGAAAATCTTTATGTGATGGACTTGATACTCCGTGAGATAAGGATATTGACAAGTGAGGAAGTTATTGGGTCTCAACTCACTGAATCAGCTTCTTTTACCCGCTGCCCAGATGGAAATGGCCCCCACATGACCCTGGATCCCTGGGCTCGGGGGACCACTCCCTACAGAGAGGGCATAACTTCGGGGTCTGTGACAGCCCCCCTCATCACTCCAGTTGACCCCACTCCACCCACAGTAGCCCAGAGTTGGTGCGTGGGTGGCCCCGTCTGGGAAGCTTGGGCACAGAGCTGGGTGGAGGGCCCTGGCCGGGCCAGCAGGATACCAAGCAGGCCAGGGTGGGGCACAGAGCAGGAACAAGGTTGGATGTGGAGCTGGGAGGCCTGAGCGAGTGCCAGTGCATTCCCTGCCACAAATCACCTGAGGGGCTTGGGCAGGTCACTTCCCTGCTCCAGACCTTATGTTTCTTTTCTGAAGAAGGAAGACTTAAGCTTGGAGTGGAGCTCCCCGATTTTTCCCCACCAAGGCACACAGACAGTGGCAACATTGGGTGGCATCCTAGGGTAAGCAGAGTATCTTGGTGCTCGGGGGAACATGGGCCTCTGTGTGGGGTCAGTCTCTGGGCACGTATGTCACCTACCTGTGGCTTGCTGGCTGAGAAGGCTTGGCCTGCGGGACCCAAGATCTCTACCGGTGCTTTAGGATGATGAGGCTGCCACCTTGTAGAACTGGATGGAGCCCATCTGTGCATGCACACACCAAGAGCTGGCTGTGAATTGCTTCCTCCATCATCTTTGTGTGGAAAGGCAGGGGGTGGGGAGCATGGGGTCTCTGTGGCCCTCCTCTAGGCCGCACTATGCCTAATCAGGGCCCTAGGGACTTGGAAAAGGATGTTCTTGTAGCTTTGGGGTTCTTGCTGCTATCTCCTTCTAAGAATTTGGGTCCGTGTTGGGGCCTCCTGGAACATGTGTTCTTCTTTATCTCTGGCCTCCTCTCTCTGTTGGGGTTCTCAGAAAGTCCCACTGGGAATCTGTTGGCAATAAAAGCTGCCAGGATTCCTCCAGCACTCTTTGATGCCAGAGGCCCTGGGGGAAGGACCAGCCTCCCCTCCTCTCTGCCTAGTTCAAAGACAGGCCCTAGCGTCAGTGACTGGGGCTGGGATTACTTGTGTCCCGTTAGCCCTGAGTCCAAGGCTGGGAGGAGAGCAGCCTGGCTCTTCCCTGAACCATGGCAGCAGTGATGTTGGAGGCGTCCAGGTGGGATGGGAGAGTTCACGGGGAAGTGAGGTTTTTCCTGTTTCTAGCCATTCAACTGCCCTTGCAAGCATGAAGCGGAGTGGTTAGGGAGGCAGCCTAGTGCACAAGAAGAGTGTGGGCCTTAAGGCAGACAGTCTAGGGTTTGAATCCCGACCTGGCCACTTAGGGGAGTGTGATCTTGGGCCTCACTGGGCCTTCTCGAGCTGTAGTGCCCATGCGTGTATAGTGGTAAGGTGATACCTACTGGCAAGGTTGCTATAGAGGGGTTACCGAGAATGGATGTAGGCAGAGTAACAGTCATCCTCCCTGTGCCGAGGATGCTCAGTAGGGGACAGGGGTTTGGGGGAGCTGAAGTCGGGAGCCCCTCCATCCCCAGGTGTCTGTGACCCTGTGAATACTGCATCCCGGCTGGTCGCACATGGGGAGGCAGGAGAGGATGGAACAGGCGAGGAGAAGAAGGTCTTCTTAGGGAAGGGAGAGACTGTTCAGGCAGAGAGAGGTTGTGGAAGTGTTCCATGCTTGGGTCACGTGGAGGGAGGCCATCAACGCAAGGGTGAAGGGTCTGGGAGGCCCAGGCAACAGTTTCCCTCGTAGCCTCGGGGCCATGCCTGGGGGATAGGGAGAAGCAACGGCAGATGGCCTCGGCTGGGCTATGCATTCTTGGTGAGGGGCGGGAGCCTCCAGGGCCTCTGCATCCCATGAGGGCCTTACCAGATGCATGGGCACAGAGCACGTTTATGCAAATATGTCTTTTCTGCAGCTGGAAGGGAACTTAGAGATCACCTAGGCCCACCCCTTCTCCCAAGGGGCTGATAGAAACACCTACTCTCTAGAGTTTTGCTGGGACTAAAAGAGATACTGCAGGTAAATGCTTGACGCAGTGCTGGGGCATACTGCACTAAAATATGTAGCTATTTAAAACTTACGGAGTTTCTCTAAGGGCAGATGGCCTGGAAGCTTGCATCTGGGAAGTGGTTGCAAGCCTTTTGGTGACATGAGGCTGCCTCCCACCCATGATAGTGCTTGGTGGGGGCTTGGGTGGGAGGTGACTGGGCAATTTTCATGGGACAGTAGGACCTGGGGACTCCTGCTGAGCCACCCTGGCCTTGCTGAGCCACACTGTGGAGGGTTGGGGACACATGGAGGTGGGTGAAATGTCTGGGCCTGGGGCATTTTGTGGGTTGGAGGAAAACGCAGTGGGCGGTGTCTGCCTCAGTTGGCCAGTGAGCCTCTGGGGTGGGTGGGCCGTCTTGCCTGGCTAGGGGCAGGAAAGGCCTAAGGATGTGTCGGGCTCAAGTGGTCCCCTTGTTGGGGGCTTAGGAGTGGAGGGAACCCTATCCCTGCCAAGAAGCCTGACAGGTGGCCCCTGACAGATGAGCACCACCTTTCCCCTTGGTGCTACAGCACTCTCATGTGTTGGGGGCACGTGTGTGATCGTGGGTGTTGGTCTGTGTCCATGCTTCTCTGTATTCCTGTGGGTGCCTCGCGCTCTGCTGTGGTTCTAATACATATCCACACAGAAGATCCTGGAGTACTGGCTGGGCCTGCCAGACCTAGTTCAAATCTTGGCCTTGCCCTCCCAGCTGGGTGACCACAGGGTGGGTCACTTGACCCTTCTGACTTGTCAAATGGAGCAGTTGGGGCCTGCCCTGCAGGGATTGGTGGTGATGCATGCATAGCTCGTCACGCGGTGCGGGGGCACTGTAGAGGGCGGGAGGGAGCTAATGGCTTCAATGCGGTGTTAGACCGCACAAGGAAAGGTGGCAAAGAGGCGCAAGCAAGTCTGAGGGGCCTGTGTGTGCTGCATCTTTGGAGTATCTGAAGGTTAGGGAAGGGCGGGGTGCTCCTAAGTGCTTTGTGGGAGAGATGGGGCCCGGGCGGACCTGTTTAGTAAACACTGAGCTTGCTGTGTTCCAGACACTACATCATACACTGCTTTAGAGTGAAGCAGACTCACGTCCTCACTGCCTAGTGGGATGGGCAGACACCCATTTAGACGCCCACTAGGAGGCTTATTGGTGGTGGTGTGGTGTAGACCAAGGGCTGCTCAAGAGTTCAAGGAGCCTGGGTAAATCAGGGAAGTCTTGGAAGAGGAGAGGGGGGTTCTGGGAATGCCATTGCTGGCAGCGTCGTGGCTTAGAGGCCTGGCCCAGCTGCGGTGATGGGAACCATCTTCTGGGCCTGGTGGGCTCCGAGGACAGTGAAGAGAGACCCTTGTGTCACATGGGAGATTGGCCTCGCTGGGGTCTCCGTGCTTGGGACTCCTGCCCTGGACTTCTCCAGGACAGAGCTCAGCATGACTGCCTGGCTAGGGGGCCTGGGTCCCTGGGGGGGGGCGGGGCGCTGAGCTGCCCTTGGGTGGGGAGAGGCCTAGGTCCTGGGCTCCAGAGTCAGGCCTCTATGAAGGTCACCTCCATGGCCAGAGTGGGGGCCTGGCTCAGCTCTGCTAGATGCCTCAGGAGGCCCCTTCCTTTCCCTGGCTCCTCTGAGGGGGTGCCTGAGCCTTTGTGCCCCCAGAGCCTCCTCCCCTCAGGGTACTTAGTGGAGACTGGTGAGCAAGGGCTTTCCTGGCCCAGCCTCAGCTGGTTGGCTGGTGCGTCTCAGAAAGCCCCTTCTGAGGCAGCCCCTGGGAGGAGGTGGTGGGGGTGGTTTGGGGATGGAGAGCAGGGGAGGAACTGAGGAAGCAGGCAGCCTCTCTCCCTGCCCCCCTGCATGGTGGCTTAGGCGATAAACTGCTTATCCTCAGGTTGTCTCCCTGAGCCGAATGCAGAAGCGTGTTATTTAAATTTCAAAATCACATTCTTCTTCTAACAGCTGTCAGAGAGTCTGAGTGTCAACGAAGCCTGGGCTTTAGCTGCAGCTGTCACCTTACACCTCCCCTTTCCGAGGAGGAACTCGTCTGATGGCCAGGGAGAGAGGGTGTGGGGTGGCGGGACGGGGCCTGTGGGGACGGAGGGAGGGGAGGTGACTGTGTGGATGGGGTCAGGTGCCCAGTCACTCCTGCCATGCTGATCAGCAGTTGGGAGCAAATGGGAGGAGGCAGGCTCCACCATCAAGGGGCGCTGAGGCGTTTCCCCCTTCCGTTTCCTTTCCTGCTCTCTCCTGTCAGCACGGTGACCTAGGGCTCCTGGCAGTGGGGGGCAGGATTTGCTTGCCCTACGGTGTGAGCAGGGTGTTGGTGACATCATGTTTTGTTGTCTTTGTGTCCAAAGAAGAAATTGCTATGAGAAAAAAGAAAGGAAGGAAGGAAGAAAAGGAGAGAACAAAGTTTAACCCCAAAGAAAGACTTTTTAATAGTAGAATTTGAGAAGTCATGGTTGGGGTGAGGTTTTTGGGGTGAAGACATTTTCTGGTACTTTTTTGGGGGGGAGGGGCAGAGGGAGAGGGAGAGAGAGAAAGTGCGGAGGGGTGATGGGGCCCTTCCCTCCACACCCGGGGCAGAGCCTGACGAGGGGCTCGATCTCATGATCCTGAGATCATGACCTGAGCCGAAAGCAAGAGTCGGATGCTTAACTGACCGAGCCACTCAGGCATCCGTTCTGGTACTTTTAAAATAACATCTCCTAGGGGGCACCTACTTGCTTCTCCTTGGGTATGTAAGACAGGCTCTGCCAGCAGAGGTGATGGGGAGGGTTAGTTCTGGGCTGGGTCTCTCTGCTCTTTAGAAGCTCCTGAGATGGCTCTGCAAGATTCTGCTCCCCTGAGCATGCTCCTGGTTTAGCCATGAACTGCATTCACCTCATTTACTCCAGCGTAAGGCAGGGTTTGGGTAAGTGCCCTGGTAATGCCCCTTCCAACCATATCTGTTGATAGACTCCTTTAACCCCATGGCTGGAGAGAGAAAGGAACAGGACTGAGTGGGGTCAGGTCAGAGTGTGTGGAGGGTGGTGTGTGTGTATGTGGGTGTGCGCTATGAGCCTGTTATGTGTTTGTGTGTGGAGTGGTGTGTATATGAGTTGGTGTGT